TCCATCTCAGCAGCGTATGAAAAATAAATTAGATTTCCCTACACCATTTCCTGATCACCCCAACCCCCCTCTACCACCAGCCCTCCCTCCTGTCATCACACCTGCCTCTTTCTTCCTGCCGATGCATGTGGCCGCTCAGCTGCAAGACACAAACACTCAGAGTGTGTTCACACCAAGTATGTGTGAGGAGGTTTTTTTTCAAGCTAGAAGCCTTGATTTGTACTTTGAATGGTAGTAGAAAGAGCCAAACATGGACAATTTCCAAGACCTGTAAAATAGGTGTACTGCTATGGCACTTAGTAGATAGAGTGCATTATTTTACAAGATCAAATTGATTTTAATTTTACACACTGATGATGATGAGCACCTGTTTTCATCCATTCAGTACTTCTGTGTAACATCTGTGACTGTAGCAGCAGACGACATTGTATCAGACGTGTTTTGAATTTTAGGCTGTGAACAGATTCAATCCTGACAACCTAACTGTGACAAAATCTACTCTGTCATGGCATATCATATTTTCAGGCAGAAATAATAAGTGGTTGGGTTTTCCTAGGGAGCCATGGGAAGAAACAGAGGCCTCTTTCTCTAATTTTCAAGAGGATTCACCAAATCAAAGCTCCTTTGATAGGTTGTTTTCCAAACATATTTGCATTTCTTAAAATTGTCATTCACAATAGAAAACAGAGGTTGTTTAAGTCAGCTTAGCTAACTTACATTATAAGACCATGCCAATCTTAACATGTTAGAGAATAGCAAATACATTTGACAGATTTTTCTTTTTGTGTGATTTTTGTGTTTCAGCGGGCTGTTTTTCTGTTTTAGTGAGCATTAGATTGTTGACAAACCCAGGTTAACCACATTTCCCTATGCCTCTTGTATGCTAAGCTAGCAACAAAGAACGTGGAAAACATCTACCATTTTAGATGCTACAATTTCTGCTCGTCGCTGTTGTGAGTTATCCAAAACGTTAAACTTGCAAAGCAAAGACTCCTACAAAAAGATAGGAGATATACTCTTAGAGTGCTAAGAAGTGCTGCACAGGGATTAGTAGATGTGGATTTGGGTGATGGCTGCTTTCCTTCACAATGCACATGTCCACTGGGCTTAAAGTTTATATAGAATATTCATTATAAATTACAGCTTGGAGGTTGTGATACTTATTGTACATTTGTTCATCTTACTTAGTTATCAGATGATTAATTTGAAGCAGATTGCAATTAAGTACAAGAGAAAATGTAGATGTTATCTGACTATAGCAAGGCTCCAGTAATTTGAAAGTTAACATCTGTAGCATGTGTGCCAACAGTTTCCATTAACATTTCAGTGTTCTTGGAATCCTGGGATGAAAAGGGGGAACTAACAGAAACAATGCATGATGGATTTCCAGAGACATTCCAAAGAGGAATGCAATTACTGAGTCAGAGCTTGTCGGCTCCCCTTACTGTTGGTCAAAAATGATTTAGCAAGCTTTCACTCAGTGAGGTCTAAAAATATGTCCTCATCTATCTGTGTTTTATCTTCTCAGCCTCAGGAGTTTCCTTTTCACCAAAAAAAGATATTAATGAAAATATGTGACGCACCATCTTCCACGTCACAAAAGACACCTATGAATCATCTTGTACAACTGCACTTTACTTTATATTATGGGCATTAAGATAATCACATTACACTATGTTAAATCCATCCAATCCAAACCTGTGTTAGATGTATAAAAAAGGTATGTCAGAGCCAAAGTACCAGCTTCAAATGATTTGTAACAGTTTGATTCTCTCAGTGCCAACAAAAACCAGACACAAACCCATTCTCTTTAAGTACTGTATGCTCCAAGCTGGACGTACTTTGGATGAAAACAAATCCCCCGCAGCTCTGAATGTAAGCATTGCTTTGTTTCATTGCAGGGCTTACTAAGACTGAGGCCAAATGGTGAAAGTAATGATCTAAAAATAGAAAAAGTGGAAATAATTCTGCATGTCTTCAAATATCTCTATTTTTTTCACGAGCTTCATTTCCTTCTGAGTGAACCAGAATAAAGTGTCAAAAGCATAAGAGCATCGCATTGAATCTCCTGCATATCATGATGGATTTAAAGTGTGCATCAAGAAAGTAGGACAGCTTTCACAGAGGCTCCAGACTGATGCTCAGTGACATCACTTTCACAGCAGAAGCCTCATTTTGAAGCATTTATAATCATAGAATCGCACCCATAATCATCATCATCACACTCTGCTGCACCTGCAACCTCTTCATACGTTTAATGTTATATTCAGATGTATAGGTGGAATAATGGGTGTCTGCATTTAACGACTCATCAGACAGCTACAAATGGTTCATAGTATGCACACTGTCAGTTTTTTCAGCACATTTATAGCCATCAGAATCCCATTGTGCAAGACATTTGCACTTTCACCTTGTTAAAGTGCTGCATGACTATAATTAAAAAAGAAAAAAAAGCTCTGTGAGTAAGTATAAGAGAGGACAAATATGTCCTAAACTGAGAAATAATTTGAGCTGTCAAATATACAAATACAAACTAAAATGCTATATTAAAAGTATTTAGTCAGTGTATCACTAAAGTGGCTAAATGCACAAATTTTCAGTTACGTCCCTGTTCCAACTCCTTCTAAGTAATCCTTCTCAGTCAGTTGTGTAACTCTTTAGGTTGGTCAGGAATTTAACATTTGGAGAACATTCTTGTGTGATTTTTGAGTAGACTGATACCTACTTAGGCAATAAAAAGCAACCTGGAACACTAACTTTAGCATATATACAAGAAATAAGGCAAATAAGTTAGTCAGCTAACTGCTGACCCCTGACCCAGGAAAACTTTGCATAGTTTCCTTAAGAATTTATTTGTAAAATCAGCATTTTTATTTGATTGTGTTTCAGAATGTACAGCTACTAAATATTGACACCAAAAAAATCCTTCACACCAAATGAACTCCATTCAGAATAATCACAGCTAGTCACCCTCTTTTTCAACAAGTCATTACCATCTTGATTGGCTAATTTTAGCATCTCTCTGTTTGTGGCGGAGGTCATTTTGAATATTGTTATACTATTGCTGGGAAGTTAAGGCTTTGACGCTTGGTATGTGGTGATTGATTGACACTTGCTATCCCTCCTGCGCTCCTTGTAGCTTAATCATCTAACATTTGCTCACGTGTGAATTCATCTTTGTTTGCATTACTGTAAGTTTTTACTTTTTTTTTTTTTACTTTAGTCTCGCTGCTTCCAATTTGGGACCTTAGCTGGAAAAGTTAAAGTTGGTACAGTCTAAAAACTGCAAATCAGTGTTATTAATTGGTGGGACATGAATACATGAACCTATATAGAGGGTCTGTGGTGGAAACAGCAAGTGGTGTTTATTTTTTCCTATACTAATTGTATAGGCATGATATTGGCATCCTTAACATTGGCTTTCTTAATGCTTGTTTCTATGATAATTCCAAGTCTGTCAATCCAAAAATCACTCCAGATAACTCTTTGAGTGCTTGGTGCATCACCCTGTAACTCAAATATAAATTTGAACAAGTGGGCACTTCCATCTGCTGATCAAGATTATGTGATAACGCTTAAAGCCCCCGAATAGCTATTGTGTCAACATTGTTCTGTCAGGAGCGGGACTGTCGTAGTTTCACTGGAAACAGACAGTTACTGCCCATTTTTGTATTCATATTTCACAGGGACTTCAGACAAGAAAATCAAGATGAATAGGTAGGTGTGTGACAAAAATGTAACACAGGCAACCTTGAGACTGATTTGGAGCAAAGCTGAATGGTTTCTCCTTTGCTATTGTGAATGTTTCGGTATAACACTTTAATGAACACTCAGCCAATAGGATTGTTTATCTATCGAGTAATTTTGTCAAAGTTCTGCAGGGTCTCAGAAGATATTCAATTGTTTTCAAATCCTGAGTAGATGTACTCTGACATGCAAAATTGGTGGAATATTTCCCACAGTGCATCCAAATAATATCATCTCACTGCTTATGTATTTACCCACCTTACATTTACTTTGTAGGCATTTGTCTCTGAATTCAGAAATCATCAGGGTTTTCTCTTTCAAACTTTGAAAAGCTCCCTGCTGAGTCACTGAAGATATTATGCAACTATTTTCACAAAGTGAGCAGCAGTAATATTACGAGCAATGACCCGTGTGTGTGTGTAAAATTGGTGGTGCGTCACTTTAGATCATCAATATGATGTTAATGTAGTTATTAAACCTTTTCACCGACAGACCATACTAAAAATTACTCTGTAAAAACAGAAATATAGCACACACGTTTTGGTAGGTGGTTAATTGTGCAAGAACGCAACACTTTTAAGTCCATTTAATTCACCTTTTTGGCAGCTAAGACAGGCTATGTACATGACAGGTGAAAACTAGAATACTTTGTGCCTGCAATGACTAAATAATATGCAAGGCCTAATATGTGGAGGGCAGTGTTATTAGACTGTTTGACTTGTTTATGTTCTCCACATCTGTTATGGAAATTTTTAGGATATATTTTGACAGTTTCACTTTACTTCAAGACTTTGAAGAAAAGAAATGCTCACTAATGGCTGTAAGAGTCTGGTAGGAGTCAAATTGGGATTTCCTACTCAGGGCATTTAGGTATGGGGTAACAGCTGTATGTGGGAATGAATTTAATGGAAATGAGAGAAAAGAGGTTTCACTTCATGACAGTGAGCTATACACTTAATGAGACAGTCGAATATGTTGACATAGCTGCTAATTCACTGAAAGAAACTACAGGGTATTAAACCCTGTAGTTTCTTTTTTAGCCATTGAGAGCCATTTATACACTATAAACAGAAACACTATGCACTATCATGTCTTTCTTACATTTCCATAATATTTATTAGATTAAATATCTTTTGAATAGTGGATATCCTGCCAAGCCCTCATTTTGTATGTGTGCTGGGAAAAGAAAGGTCAAGGACTAAAACTATTCCTGTCTCCGACACAAAAATTGACAAAACGAGATCAAATCTTACCTATATTGTGCGGTATTTTGCCATATGGTCCCTTGGAAATATCTCAAGGCCACACATTCACACTCAAAGTGCAAGGTGAAGAATTAGCCTGGACAAAATAAAAGAGAAGTATATAAGAAGCCAAAAATGAAAAGGTCACCAAAGTTCAATTGCAATATACTTCTGCTAAGGACTATTTTAATTAGGAAGAACACATGCAGTGACGAATCACACTTCATATCGTACATGTCAGATATATGTCTGTGCGAAAATAACTTTGTGTTGTGTGGTCTGAAATTAGGCCATCTGAAGTCCATCGCAAACAATACAGGTGTTATCATGCATACTTGCTGTGAACCAATCATGCCACTAAGCTGAGAAACCTTTTACAATTCAGTGAGCGCTATTATGATTTATAAGGAATTATCTGCTTCTCAAACAAAAGCCTATAAAATCTTCTTAAAGCACAGTGTAGGAGGGAGGGAGATTAGATTGGTTTATGGAAAATTATTGAAATAGAGCACAGCAGGGTGTTTGTGCAGGGCTGCAGCTCCCGAGTGACATTGTAATCTCTGCAATGACTTAATGCACATTATTTGTCTCTTTTCTTTCATTTTTTGCGACCAGTTGTCCCTACAAGCTGTTTGCCTTTCTAAACACACAGTCTCGAAGCTGTGCTATGTCTTTGCCGTCTGTGGGAGTAAGAGTGTGGGTGTGTTTGAATGCGTGTCTATGAATCTGTTTGGGCACTGATTCATGTATGTGCTGCATTACAGACTTAATGCAGGATATATCATGCATGACCAATTTTTTGTTCTTACATGCATTATATGCCCTCTACAGTGAACAATATAATCTCTAAGAGTGTGCTTTGAAAACATAGTCTTGCTGTAAGTGATGTTCAGAAAATTAATGACTCTTTCTTTTCTACATTGATAACAAACATATTGGTATTCCACTTATCCTTTAGGGAGTATCACTTCTCTCTTGCTTTTTAATAAGTAAGTCAAATCAGACAATTGAAGTCCAGAGGCAGGAGAATCCCCACAGTCCTCAGGGCATCAGCACCCCGTTCGAAGTTCATTGTCATACAGACTCCCCCATAGTCTCCAGATCGGAACTCAGTCAAATCCAGCCAGTAGCAGTTCCCAGACTAGAGCTTAGCCAGCCACACCCAATATTAGATTCTAGCTCAGGGCACACAACGATGCGTGCTGCGACAAAGTTTCTGGGCTGCCTTTCCTCAAGAGTCTCTCCATCTAAAACAATGCATTATCAGGGACTGTAACATCTAGTCCTTCTTACTGAATCAGAACTCTGGAGTGATCCAGTGACCGCTGCAAAAGGGCAGCTGACAATCAGGGAAAGACCAGATGACAGCCTGGAAAGACTGCTGACAGGAGGGAATAGACCCTAATGGGGCTGGTGTGGGTTAGCGCCTCATACCAGATTCTTACTGAATCTTGCCTAACTACACAAAAGCCAAACGATCCAAATTCTCTAGTTTCAATTTTGTATTTTTCTGGAACCGAATCACGGGAACAATCACCTCAAGGTTCTTTATATTGTAAGGTAAAGACTATACAATAATACTGAGAAAACCCAGACAATCACATGACCAAGCACATGAGCGAGCACTTGGAGACCATGAGAAAGAAAAATCCCCGTTTAACAGGAACAAACCTCCGGCAGATCCAGGGTCAGGGACGGGTAGCCATCTTTTCATAGCTAGTCAATGCTCCCTTTCACTGAAACCCCTTTTTATCTACTGTTCTCTTCTTGCCTGTCTTCAATGTCTCATAACACACCTTGTTTCATTCAGGTTCATTTTTCTCCTGCATCCCCTTTCCTCATCATCTCACAATGACAGGCTGGTGAATTGAAGGTGTCCAAGAGAACTACTAGCTATATTTTCCATCCAGGCTAGATTTTGCTCATCAACAGTTGTCACAAGACCAAGGAATCCTACAAAAAGAACAACCTCAGCTTTTAGCTGGTCCCCAGTTGGACTTGACCTGTCAGTCTCAGTGTTACCAAACACAGCATGCACCACATACTTACCAAAGAGAATTGATCTGACTTCCTGGAATATTTAAGGTGAAATGATCTGAGAAGGTGTGTGGTGGGTTGATGCTGATCATTTGAGATTTCCCCGGTTATAATGTCATTATTAGCCTTTAAGGCACAGCAGCCAGGGAATGCAAATAACACATTATTGACCTGCTGTCATTAACTGTCTGCATTTAAAGACACTGCTTAGAGCAAATAACCTGCTGTGATGCCCATTCAGGCTTGGAAAATGACTGAGGGAATTGAGACTTTCAAAGATGCCAGGAGAGCAGAGTTTCATTATAACAACACAACAAGCCTATTAATAAAATGTATAATGCATTTGAAATCTGTTTGCTCCTCTTTCCGTGTTTCAGTCACCATCAAATTGATCTTTAAATAGTTCATTTACAAATATGAACTTAATATGAATGTAAAATCAGCAGCTTAATGAAGTGGTAGTGAGGGGACATTCTGTTTAAGCAGCTGAAATCAAATCTAGTGAACCAGCAGGCAATGAAGAAAACAGCTTGATGTCATAGGTGCTCAGAGAAACCATTTCACTGCTATTTGAAGAATCTTCAGGCATTGTGGACATAATATGTAGTGATATTATTATGTGACTGTGCAATGGGAAAAGTTTAATTAGGTTTTGGCACAAGAACAAAACAATCCTGACCAACAGGTGTATCATCATCAGGGCAAATCCACCTTGACCTACAGTCTAAACTTTGTAGTTTCTATAAAACCAGCTTGTTCTTAGTCCCAGGACTATGTCGTAGTTTCTAAGCCGCTGCCATGTCACAGATATGTGCAGGATGTTCTCACACTCTATGCAATTTGGCATGATTTCAGTGACGTATGTAGCTTATAGCAACATTAGGGGCATATTTTAGTAAAAGATCCTTATTTGGACTAAACCCAACTGAGATTTTTGTGACTAAACTTCACCAGCAAATAAAAATGAAATGAATGAATCTAAGTGGAAAAAAGTGCAAAACATGAAGGTCCAAACAGGAAATAAACTGTGATCTTGAGAAGATATGACTTTTCACCATCATCTCTCGAACCTGAAAATACAGACTGAGGAGGAAGGCTGTGATCTAGACAATCAGCAATGCTGAAGCTGGTTAGAAATTGTTACTAAAAATATCACTCCGCTTCCTCCTTTATCCCTGTCATAATTGCAACACCCACTAGAGACCAATGTCTTCTGAAGACAAATGTGTTATCGTGTAAAGTTTTTCACTGGTTCTTTGTTTGAATTTTATGGATCGGATTTTGCTATGAAGCATTATTTCCTGTTTAATAGTTGGTAATAAGAAAAAGGGATCACAAGTCTTTAATGAAAATACCTGGATATTGTGGATATTATAGCAAAACTCTGCTCACTGAAAAAACGAATTGTCAGTAATATAATGCATTTTCAAGTTCCTAGCAAAGATAACTAGTTCTAAAAAAAGAAAGAAGGTCAATCTTGGAATCCATATATTCACTTAAATAGGGCTGTTGATTTTTGTAGCATTATTTGAAAGACAAACTATTGAATCTGGGTGCTTAATCTCAGTATGGCATCAAGTAAAATGAATAAATTCCATTTCATTTGCCTTCTTTGAAATTTCACTTTGAGGAGTTGAGGTCTGGCAGAACAGATTGCCGTCTGGAAGAAAATAACATGAGAACAAAACAGAGACTGATGAAGATTTTAATGAAATGTTCTGTTCGCTTCAAACTCCAGACGTGGCTCACTGATTGGCATTCATGCTTGAAACCTGGAAACACACGGTGTCCCAAACCAGTGCCTGACAAAAATGACAGAATGTACAGTGGAAAGTTTTACCAAGTATATCCAAATTAAGATGTTTTATGATTCATTTGAAGGGTTTATTCATGTTATTATCAAGGCCAGTGGCTAAGAAATATATTATTCAAAATAGGGACGGAGAAACATACTTTTAGACTTACTGTAATTCCAGATTTATCAGCTGTATCTCTTACCTGTTACCTCCTACAATTACTCTATCATTTTACTATTAGAGCAACCAAGTACATATTAAGAAATAAGACAAAATGAAATAGTACTACAAGACTACAAGTAAAACGGACAAAGTTTGCTTGTTTATTCCCTTGTGAAATGTATGTTACCTATAAGCCAAAAGACCTTGAGAGAGTCCACACAGGCACATGTAGAACAAGCAAACTCCACAGAGAAAGGCCTGACCCAGCCAACAAGTCAAACTAGAAGCGCTTTTGCTGTGAGACAACAGGAGTGAAAACTGCACCACTCTTCCACCCTCCCCCAAATATTATTTATATTAAAAAGCATTATGAAAACAAGATTTCAGCTCACAACATCATCACCTTGGGGACATGACCAAAATACTTGCAAGTAGCTTTCAGTTTTATTCCTCTAGCAGGCATTGGTTAGCTCTGGATTTGTTTTTAACGTTCAGCTTCTCACTGGGATTCTTTCCAAGTAATTGCAATGGCAGTTAAATGGATATTTTTACATTCCCACCCCATTTTTTCAGTATGTGCTTCAAGCTAAGACTTCCACTTATTTTAATTGCAGAACAGTGTCTTGTGCTCTGTACTTGACCATTTCACATGAGGAAACTGTATATTTGTGGTTCATTTTGAAAGATATGTTTTTCAGTAGGAACTAAAAGCCACTGGTAAAATATCAAGAGAGGAACTAAGGCATTATTGGTCTTTTCATAACATTCGTTGACAAGAGAAACACCAGCATTATCCCTAAACATCAAAGGCAAAGCTATGGGCTTTCAGATGTTGGGCTTGCTAAAAGGATATCTTCAACCATTAATGTAAAGCATTAAAAAAAAGAAAAGAAAAGAAAGACTTTAAATATCAGCTATCATACATCTACTATGTCTACTCTGGCACACTGTAAGTGAGTTATTCATTTTCTCTTTTTCAGGAAAGTGTGTTTCAGTCACGAGAGCTGTTGGGAGCTGGCAGGCTTTTACCATTCTGGCTCAAACTAAAAGCCCACTTTGTGACCACAGCATGTTGGTTTCTTCATTCACTCATATTTCAGTT